TTTTGCCTCCTTCACGTGATCGCGTTCGAAGTGAGAGAAATGTTGAACTTGGTGTTGAACCTCTGACGGTGGAAGAAATGAATGGAAGAGGGTCGTCGTTGCAGGGAGGGAAATCCCCTGTGAAAAGTTTTCGAGTGAATCTGGATTAAATAGATACATTAAAAATCAGTGTATTTATAATAAAGATAAAGGAGACTTAACGTTTTGAAATTGAATTCAACGAGTGATCGAGTATTCGTTGTTCGATCTCGGCGGAGTTGTTGTGCAAAGTTCGTGACCTTAACTCCTCGAGGGAGGGGTTACGCAATGTAATTGCGTGGCATTAATCTTAAAACGGTGGGGTTGTTGTTTCGGTGAAACTGAATCATTACACGAAAGATTTCTTCCTTTTCTTCTTTACAAGTGTGCGTATTTGAAATTTGTTTTAATTAAAGTCTTCTCCCTTTGATGAAGAGGGGGCGATCGATTGATCCGCAGTGAACTGTAGCTACAAAATAAAAGTGCATCGTAAGCAGGAGAGATCGATCGGGAATCCCCAGCAAATCACGCGACACGTGGACTTTCTGCACATATATATATATATATATATATACACATAGACTCTTTCTTGGCTGCTGGATGCGGATGGAAAAATAAGGGGAAAGAAGAAGCAGGAGAAGCAGGAGGAATCCTCGAGGAGAACGATCCATCCATCCAATTTTGAGAGAGGAACTTCTTAATGGCTTGTTGTACGCAAAAATAATTCTACCTAAAATTACAATTTGCCTATCAATATATTAAATCAAAATTTAAATTATAAAATATAGATTAATAATAATATTATTATACAAGATATAATTTATATAATTTAAATTATAAAATATAGATTGATAATATTAGAAATTTACAAGATTTATGGTTAATCATATGTGATTAAACAATTTCCATTAATTTGATATAGATTAATAATATTACCATTCACAAGATTTATGGTTAATCATATGTGATTAAACAACTTCCATTAATTTGAAAGCATATGATTCTAAAAAAAAAAAAAAAAGAAATTGGAATGAAAGAAAAATGTTTCTTTTTTTCTTCCTTCTATTAATGGATTCTATTAGCCATTAATTTGAAAGCACATTCTAAAAAAAAAAAGAAATTGGGATCAAAAAGAAAAATGTTTCTTTTTTTCTTTCTTCTATTGTCCATTAATTGAAAACACATTCTAAAAAAAAAAAGAAATTGGGATCAAAAAGAAAAATGTTTCTTTTTTTCTTTCTTCTATTGTCCATTAATTGAAAACACATTCTAAAAAAAAAAA